GACTTTGAAGTACTTTCTGTTGCAATGTTAATGATGAGTTTACATTTGATAAACAGTGGATGAAGAAGACTTCTTTGGATTTCTTTTGCAGCTTATCTGTGGGTACAGCTTATCCGCAGGCTTTTACGGTTATATATAAATGCTGGTTTGCAAAGTAGAAACTAAATCAACAAAAGTCACATTGGTGCATGGATTTTCAAGTAACGAGTCTATCATATTCATGAGTTTATCATATTCATGAGTTTATCATATTCATATATCAGCATGTTGAAGCTTAAGCCTTTTAACTGCCAAGATCTCATAAAAAATTCTTCCTACCATCTGTTGTATAATTCTCCTAAAGTGACTTTGGAGAATTTGGTATTGGATTGACTAATAATCCCTAAATCGATATTTTCTTCATTCTCATTTCTTGTTTTAGGAGTTTTAGGAATTTTAATTTGTTTGCCATGCGAATGGCAGGAGAAAGGAACAGAACTTTCCTCCCAATTGACACCTAACCCCTTTGTACCCACCATCCCACCCCAGGGAGGACATCCACCACACAGTAATCTCACGCGTGGGAAATTAACGTCTCCTACCCCTAACCCTGCAGGAGACGGGACGTACGGTTTTATTCATCATTATACGACAAGACTAGAATATCTATCCATTTCTTGATATCATAGAAAGGTAGCAAATTCACCTCAGTTATTTTAAGACCACAAGTATTGGTCCGGCCAGGGCTCAAACCCTAGACCTCCTGCACAACACACTCCAGCCCTCTAACCAATTGAGCTAACCAGGTGCGGTTAACATCTGTCTATTTAATTTGGTCTTGATTTTGTTCGGGGAATATACAGTAATTCAGTGTCTTGATCACTCCTGGGAGTTAAAGTGTTTAATACCAGTTCCAAACAGCATGAGGTTTGTATGAAAGCAATCTTTGCAGTAATGAATAAAGGCTGATAGTTTCGAAAGAAACTGTTTGGGGCTGCGTCGCTGGGAGTAACGAAATAATTTGGATATATCAACAAAGTTGAAATGGTAAATTGGCTACTGTAACGATTACAAAAGCTGACGTTTCGAGCGTTAGCCCTTCGTCAGAGCGAATGAACCTTACTTATGTATTAGTAGAAATAAGGCATGAAAAAAATTCAGGCCTGTGTGGGATTTGAACCCATGACCTCTGTGATACCAATGCAGTGCTCTACCAACTGAGCTAACAAGCCAACTGGGAGCTAGTCATATATTCAAATTAAATTATTTAGCATGACGTTTATTTACAGCACGATGCTGTTCTCAACTTTGTTTGTTAGCAAAAACCTTACCTTCGGGAGGACCCTCAGTTTCCATAATTTCATCCCTAACTTCCTCCTCTAAGGTTCCCACATGTGTTGGGATGTCATACTTAAGCAAAAGGAAAACAAATTATTGATGCACCAAAATAACAATTTTTCTTAGTGTGTTAAGAGATATAACTCATTGCAAAAACAGTACTGTAACATTAGGATTTAATCAGTGAATTGGTGTACACTGCACACAAATATGTTAACCTGCTATTTTTAATTTTATGTGCGAAAAAAGAAAATTTTTTTGTTTTGTTTTGTTTTGTTTTTTGTTGGAGATCCTTTTTGAAAACCATATTTTATGTGAAAAAGTCATCTCAATAAAGATTATTATTATAGACTATTGAAAGGAGGAGTATATTGACCAGGGACAATAAACATGACATGCATACGTCAGGTGGCTACGAATGATAGAAATTCAAAATAAATAATAAAACTGAAGCAAAGAAAAAGAGTCCATAGAGTCAAATACTTGATTAAAATGCAGATACAACACAATCTCCCATTCAAATCCAAAAGTCTCATTACCAATTCTCCCTTCCATACGTGAAACATTTCCTTGTATTTTGGTTGAGAGAATTTGATGTTGCATCAAGATAACACTCTGGTTGATAGACTTGTTTATTCTCATCACCCGTTCACTGTTTAATATATTAGATCATTGTAAAGAGAAGGAACATGTCGATCACATCTGGAATTGTAAGCTATAGCTAAGTAAAAGAACACTTCATCATGCACAAACTTGCGATCACAAATCGATCCACAAAGTTGAGTTATTCCACGGATCGCTTTTAATAAGAAGTGAATTGTTGCATATTTTCGGGAAACTTGGGAAAATAGTCGCTAGAATTCTGAATAGAACTGAAAAATTTGTTTACCTTGGGACAATCTTCACCAGCATAACCGGCTCGAACTGAATGGGCGCCAATGTCGAACACGATCGCTCCAACTTCGTCTGTAAACGAAAGAGCATTTCTCAGACCAGCAAAATTAAAACATGCAAGAAATATCCAAAATATTACGAACATTACCTCCTCCGTAAACTCCGCCGCTCATTTTAAAATGTTTCCAAAGTTTGAGAGAAAAGAAGTAGAGTTTTGTTATTGATTCAGTTTGAGAAAGGAACTGGTCAAAAACTGACAATGAAGCACATGTGCGACTATTCGTTCGTTACTGGTCAGCGTTAAAATCAAAGATGGCGGACGAAGGTAACAACAATCGTACATTCTTTTGCACTTAAGATATTTCACGATTTTAGAAACTTACAGTCCGTAAAATGCCTCTAAAAGATCTTTTCTCCAAAGCTCCGTCTCCATTTCCTCCAAATGAAGAGCCATGGCCCCAACCAGACCATTCGAGTTCAAATTCTTCGAGTAGTGGTTACCGCATGTCACCGTTGTATTCGGCTACCGCTCGTCCAACAGTGGAGGAGTTTCTGCGAACAAATTATTTGATGATTCCTGAATTCGTGCTACAGGTAAATCGAGCAAAGGTAGCAGAGAACAAGGGACACGTTCATCAAAGTATGCCATCGGAAGAAACTACCTCTATTCAAGGAACTGCTCATCGATGCCAAATCATTTCTTTTGACTCGGCAACACGCGATGTCACCAGCGACAAAATAGAGAGAAAAGAAGATGGAGAAAAAGAAGTTAAAGGAGATGATTCAACTGTACAACGGAGAGCCAGTGGCTCAAAAGGTATGGATATGCATAGAGATACTTTTGCGGCACAAAAGCAGACGAGTGGTCGGGACATTGTGGTCCCTCCTCCGCTAAAACCAAAACCTAGGGTGAAAAAAGTGATGAAGGGAGGATGTCTAGTTACAATACCAGCCCCTCAAATCATGATTAGAGCTCCACATGGGTCCACTGCTAATGGTGGAAACAACGTTGAATCGGGAGCACTTTCAGAGCATAGCGAGGCTGGGTAAACTACCACTGATGTATGTCTACCTGAGAGGAGTAGCCAGGAGACCGTTGATCAATCCTTTAAAGATGATCCCAGGAGCAATCAGCAAGCCATAGGCAAACATGTCTTGGTGACGGCTACACCTGGATCGAAGTACCTACCTGGTGAAGTTTTCTCTCATGGCAAAGAAGTGTCAGGATCTGAAATTCTACCAAGAAAAGCTAAAGAAACACAGGTTCTTGTACCTGTTAATGAAAATAATGCGCGGCGACACGATAAGAATAACGTGGATGAAAACTCTGATTTTGATGTAAATAGATCCTCTAACACTATAGCTCTACCGAAAAATGACAGCACAAATCGTAAGGGGATTATGGATAAGAGGCGTGAGGAAACACCCACTGGACCCATGCAAGAGTCGAAGAAAGCAGAGTCAAATGATGACTTTACGGGGAATGTTCCATCAGAGGATTCACTGGCACTCAGCACTGAAGACACCAGTTTGAGTGAAAATCATGGCGAGTATTTCTGTGACTATCAGAGATTGACTATAGACTCAGTTAAAGACCAGAAAGAGACGCAGATCAGTGAAAGCACTGATTACAAAACAATGAGAGTTCTTGATCCATTAAGGTCGGGTTCCATACTAACTCAGCTTAAAAGTCCTGAAAGCTCAAGCGCTAAAAACCAAGAAAGCCTGTCAAGTGATTTACCAATAGTTACAGGAAGTTCCATTGTAAAGCAAAGCTCTGACAAGCTCAATGTGTTGGTCGAAGAGCACAGTACTAAGATTAAACAGAATGAAAATTTCCAGCAAAATCATGTGTCCAATGACGAGAAAAGCCAACTCACAGAAATCAGTCGTGAGGACCAGGTGGTTAAGGGAAGCGCCAGTAAGAACAGTGCTATGGGTACAGATAGTGATACTGATGGGCGTCATTTAGAGAATTTTGATGCAGGTAACTATAACACTTGTGTTTTCAACGAGAGTGATGATGTTAAGGAACACAGCGCTACCTCTATTAACAGTATCACTAGTGATCGTAATGCTTATGATGACGACGACGAAGAAAACAGTGGTGACGACGACGATAGAGATGATATTGATGAAGACAGCAATGATAATGCTGAGTCTGTTGGTGAAGGAGACAATGTAGCAGATGATGGCAGTGACGAATACGCTGAGCTTGTGATGGTGGAGTCGACATCAGGTGAGGATGAAGAAGAATATGATATCTTTCCTGCTGATGAAAATTATTCCGATGGAGAAGAGAATGACGCGAAAAGTGTTGATGAAAATGATTCCGATGGAGGAGACGCGAAAAGTGATTATGAAGCCGAGGATATGGATCTTGACTCCGACACTGAAAGAGATACCGGCGGAATAACATTTCATCAAGACACTACAATTGGACAAAGAGTGAAATACTCAAGGAGCAGGCAAAAGGACGATAAACGAACAAGGAGAAATCGAAGAAAGAAATCTCGCAAAAGGAAGAGGGCTGAGGAACAAAATCAGGTCTGAATGAAAAAACATTTTTTTCTTTCTGAAAACGAAAACTATTAGAATTATTTCGTAGCGGTCAGAAAAAGCAACCATTCTGGAAGAAAAGATGACATGTCTATTATTACCTTTGTTCCCAGGATCCTCTCTCATTTTCCTTGGAGAAAGTATCCTGGTTCCGTAACGTGAAGTCTCTGTGAAAAAAATTAAATCCACAAAGAGGGTGGGTCCGCGATTGAACAGACATTTGTTTGGTTGAATATGTTCATTTGTTTTGTCGTTTACTTTTTTTCTCCAAACATTGAAAAGGCATCTAGAGTCAGGTACAAAACAGATGATCAGAAAACGAAACCTACCTCAAACAAGAAAGATGTTACAGTAGAGACAAAGAAGCTTGGCTCTGTGTCAGGACATACATTCATGGTAACTCCTTCCGAGAGAAATTCTGAGACTAAGTCATTAGCAGCAAACAGTCTACCCCAGGTAAAATTAGAGGAACCCGGATCGCTGTTATCGATGGTGTCGTCATATACTGTGGATCTTACGGTGGCAGCCAGTGAAAAGGTTTGTGTCCTAATTTCTTAGGCTGGTCAACACAACACGGCGGTCAAACGTCGAGCATGCGCAAGGAGATCAATACTGGCTGGCCGTGTGCAAATATTCCGCCCTCAATTCCCAAGGAAAACTAAAGAGGCAACCGCTGTCACGCAAAAAATGGGGGAAAAACGGAAACGTTCATAGAAATCTGTAAAATGAAACAAACTAAGGTTTAGGAAAACTTGAGACGTTTTGAACGCAAAGCTTATTTGATTACGGGTGTCCTGTTAATTTTCCATTGTTTTTTAGCTTGATCCAAAAATATACGCTTTTCAACAGCGTGACGTACTAATTTTCGTGGCTGCTTATAATTCCTGCTAGACGACTTTGTTCTGACAGCCTGAAACCACGCTACCCAGCCACTACAACGTTCGCACACGCACAGACGTTTGACGGCTGTGTCTTTCCAACAATGGTGAACGTTTATTCCAGTAATCCTAGGTCAGATTCTGATGGATCGAGGGGTTAGCTGACAAAGTCACTGTCTGACTGAATGTCTCTCTGGGTGACGACATTGACTACTAGTTACCTAGAGGTCAATTGATTGATTAACTCTCTTACTATACCATTTATTTCTTCACCCATACAGAGATTAAATTATTTATTGACTGAGCCGATTGTTAATCAATCTATTGATTCCACGATTTCACAGCTGTTGAAAAGTAAGACCCGAGGTGGACAACACGCAAAGAAGTTGAAGAAAGCAAAACGAACAGCCAAAGCTTTGGAGAGAAAAAGGAGAGGAGAACCACCACCTAGAACAAGACCAGTTTATAAGGAGCTACCTAGACCAATCTGCTCATTTTACATCGAAGGAAAGTGCCAAAAGGTACAGTGAGATGGGAATAATAAAAGCCAGTTTTCGCAAATATCTTATTTAGCTCTTTACGTTTCCAAAGGGGCTGCTAAGGTGAATTTATTTAACATGCAACAGCTTCTTTAGCTGACGTTCATTTCCTTTATTCTTTTAACCTTGATGTTTGATTCACGGATTAAATTGCGGCGCGTACTGTCATACAATGTGATACAAATATTGCTTAGGTTTTGAATACTAACCAGTATCGTGGTAAATTTTAACTTATATATTTTTTTTTTGACCCTAAAGGGTAGTGAGTGCTGTTTCCGTCATGACAGATCAGCTCTAGCGAAGAAGAAGGTCATCTGCAAGTTCTACCAGCTTTCCGCTGACAACTGCCACTTGGGAGATGACTGCGTTTTTATGCACAATATCCTTTTCAAACGTTGCGACTTCATTTCTTTTAAAGTCAAGAGAACGCTAGAGTTAGAACTTATCTGTAATGCAAAACGGGTGCTAAAGTTAGGAGGAAGAAAGAGAGGAACGCCAATTAAAAAAAGTGAGCATGTTTCTTTAGAAACTATCAGCCTTTGTTCACTTGTATTTTGATTGCTGCGACCACTAACTTGTGTCTTAGCATTTTTCAATCCACAGCATTCAGAACAGCGGACCATGCCAAGCCTCAAGAAACTCACAAAGGAGCCACGCCAGGAAATCGTAAGCCATGTTCCCACCAATCACGTAGCTCCATTTTCTGCCTTTAAAAGTGCACACAACCCACAATTCCTCTATTCGCTCCGACGAAGGACTAACGCTTGAAACTTCAGCTTTTATAAGCGTAACGGTGGCCAATTTACCATTTCAACTTTGTTGCGTGATATATTCAAATTATTTCGTTACCCCCACCGACGCAGCCCCAAACAGTTTCTTTAGAAACTATCAGCCTATGTTCAGTAGAGTATTGGAATTTTTTCAACTAATAGGTATTATCAGGCTAAAGCTGTACAAAGCAGTGCTTCATTTTGTATTCTTCAGACAGAGGAAAAGTGAGAAAATTAAAATTTAGGCGGAGGAGTTTGAAGCAGTTTCGTCGAACTTGTTAATGTTGTTTTATATCGTTTAAGCCGATTGTGTTGTTCTTTGTTATTTTTTCTTTCGTGTGGATTCCTTAACCTGCCTGACGCTCATTTCCATGCAAATTTTTTCACACATCAAAATCTTGCCGGGAAGGCGACCGGTGCAGATTTTCCCATGATGCTCTAACAGACGAAACAAGCCGAATACTTCAGGCGGTAAGCGTTCACTTGTCAACAATGTTCCTTCACTTCCATAATAGCTCTTTCGATCAGCTTCAGAAGTAAGCTTGCGGTACTTTGGATGTAGCGAATTTTCCAACAAACAAAACGGCGGAGAGGGTGTCTCGTTGACTTATGAAAGATGTGCAAATTTCTTACCCCACAATTTTTTCTGTAAGTAAATTAATGACGAGCTCTTTGAATCAGCGGACTGCCATCTTTCATCGTAGCAGTTCTATTTACCGCGTTAGGGGTTGATTAGTGTTACCGTAGTTGTGGTAGGGTTTTCATTTGTGAAACAAGAGACACCCGCGGTGAGCATGTCATCTCTCATGGGTGAACCAAAAGGTGCAACTTTAAGAAATTGTGGTTTGTTGTGTGGTGACATGCAATCGTGCCTTCAACGTGGGGAAAAACTACAAAACCTAAAAATATTAGTGTAGTAAGATGGCAAGAAACAAAAATGGTAAGACTTAACTATAAAGGAACGAGAATTGCTAGAGATGAGCGAGATGATAACTGATTACTGAAGTGGAGCATATTTAAAACTCGTTGGCTAATTTTTCAGATGCGCAAACTGCTTCAGAATTACGTAACTTAAAATTACATCAATATTTTCCTTATTTTGTAGTTTCTCAACCCACCCCCCGAACACAATGATCAATTGCCAGAAGGTACAGACGTTGAAGCGTTGAAACCGCGAAGTTCTGATTCAAATTTGCCCGTTGAAGACAGCATGCAATCTGGACATTCGTCTCCATACAATCTACGGCAAGTGCACGAAAGCGGGCACTTGGTTACGATGGAACGACACCAGGGGGCCAAGGAACACATGGTAAAATGGCCAGGCTTAAAAGCCCTGCAAAGGCAGACAAAGACACCACACAGGTCGTAGAAGAGGAAATGGGCCCGTTCGTACCAGGATTATGCAGAGACTTGTCTATATAGAGGCCTGACCTAACGTCTCTCCTTCATTGGCTTCCTTAGTCAATGAATGAAAAAGAAATCAAACGAACATTCTAAGTCGACAGAAGGTTGTCAAAGATCTCAACTTGCTAAGGGCAGATCAGTCGGTTACGTGTTAAAGAGTTCAAGGAGTTCAGCTTGAGGAGTACAAGAAGTCAAAGATGGCCAACCGGGAACGAATCCTTTACGTTTAAAGAGAAATCGAAGACCGATTATAGTTCATATTAGTCCAAATGTGTTTCCAGGTTTTCGTTAACTGTTAAAATAATTTCCTTTTAGTTTTCCATTTTTCTAAAGGCGCGTGTGCCATGAATGGATGTTTAGGATTTGATGCTTCATTGTGCTTGAAAAATATCCAAAATTTCACGCTCAATAAAAAGAAAGGGAAACTGCGTATTCGTATGACATGGCAAAAATTGATCTTACGCTACTAGAGTGACAAAATGATATTCGTGTCATTATGCCTCTCAGCCTAAACTGGCTCCTTAACATAGGAATGTGCTCCATGGTTAAGCATGAAGCTAGATGGCTTTGACTAGTTGTTGTGTGGGCCTTCGAACCCAGCGGTAAAATTAACTTAGAAGAACCTTCATGGAGAGAAAATTAGCGTCTTGGTCGATGCTTTAACTTATTCTTGTTTTGGATGTATCCTACTCAGTTTACATACATACATACATGCCTGTATAAAAGGATCGTCAACCCTATAAAAGGATCATTAGTCAACCAGTATTTTACACCTGACGAGAGAGGACTACCAGACCCTTTCGAAACAGTTATGTAGTGCGAAGTTTTAATTTTTATTTTGCTATACAATTGATTACATAAATGTATGTAGGTATGTAAACATACATGTATGTATGTATGTATGTAAACATACATGTATGTTTGTATGTAAACATACATGTATGTATGTATGTATGTAAACATACATGTATGTATGTATATACATACATGTATATACATACATGTATATACATACGTATGTATGTATATACATACATACATACATGTATGCTAACATGTATGTATGTATGTATGTATGTATGTAAACATACATGCATGCATGCATTCATTCATTCATTCGTTGATTCATTCATTCATTCCGGCATTCATTCGTTCATTCATTCATTCATGCATGTATGCATACATGCATATATGCATGTATGCATACATGCATACATGCATGCAGGCATACATGCATGCAGGCATACATACATGCATACATACATACATGCATACATACATACATGCATACATACATGCATACATACATACATACATGCATACATACATGCATACATACATACAAGGTTGCTTCCTGGAATGGGCCTATCGGTCGATTGCTGTAAAAAGATGGAAAACTCTATAGTAAGCATAGGAAACAGTATCTGTTGGCAAACAATCATTAAAACAGCAATTGTTACATAAAAACTGTTAAAACAATAGAACAAGGTACAAACAGCTGTCTTTGATGTCCAAGTGTCAATCTAATTCAGTCTGCGCCATAAAATTTTAATTTCATCTTTTAAAATTGATTTCGCAAATTGCTGCAGAGTTGCTGCAGAGTTGCTGGAACTCACCTTTGTTTGACACCGGAGAGCTTTTTTATCAGCCAAAGAAGGGATTAATTGGCTTTTGGGAAGTACGAAAGTAGCCAAAAAATTGTAAAAATTATGTTAAGCGAAAGGAGATGGCGACTGTCTTTGGCATACGGTTAACCCTTCACTTCAAAGATCTGATCTACTTCAATGAGCTGTCGATAACGATTGCATTGTCTTTACGGTTTTCTATATTCTTATAACCTACGTACCTGACATTGAAAATTTTCTAAAAGATCACTCGTAGTAAGAGTGGAAGGTTTTAGAGAAACCCACGTACTAGAGGTTGCCCATTTCAGCGTGTTCGGTGTTCACTTGCTGCCTCACTCAATTCTCATTTCAATTTTGCAATAGCTATAACACCAAAATGGCTGAGATAAAGAAAAATGTCGGGACTATGCATGAGCAAAATACAATTCGCAACACAGCGCCGGGTCGAAGGTCTGCGCAGCTCATGATCAAAGCGTTGTGGAGGCTGTTGAAACCAAGATCAGTCTCTTATGAACAGTCATGCAAATGAACCATAGCCTTGTTCAGGCGGTGGAACGCAAGACTCAGCGCGGCAAATATTCGTTCGCCATACTGGACGGGTGGACTATTTTGGACGAGTGACAAGGCGAAGGGGAGGGGGAAGGGAAGGAAATCCTTCCCGTCCCCCTCCCATTGTCTCTTGTCTCAAATTTTCCACCCGTCCAATATGGCGAACGAATATTCGCCGCGCTGAATCACAAACTACCGCCTGCAAGCAGGCTATACAAACCAGTAAGTCACGTTAAAAACCGTCTTATATTATTATAAAGGTCAAAAAAGAAGGGTAAATCAACAGGATACCAGTAAAAGAATAAGCATTACTTTCGAGAAGTTTCGTGATTATATTTTCCCCGTACGCGTCTCAATTTCCTTTCAGTATCTGATTTCTATCAGCCTCTTCATTTTCTTGCGTTTTCTCTTAAGCCTTAAGAGAAAACGTGAGAAAATGAAGAGGCGGGAAATTGCCGTGCAGCCGGCCAAAACTGATCCCCTTGCGCACACCCGACATTTGACCGCTGGGCTTTTACTTGCAGGCAGTTTTATCCCTGTCATGTCGTGGGCTTGTGGCCAATGAAAATGGAGAAAAAATGCACACAACCATAACTACGATGAAAAGAGGTGAAAAGTCTGATAGACACGGCTATTCACGGATGGTCTGTAGATTGTCGTGTTCCATTTTACTCCAAAAGGCATCTTTATTCTGCTAATCCCTCAATTTCTCAATTCTTGACATTGCAGGTTTGGTTGAGATGTTTGTCAAATAAAGTGATAAAAGCCCTCTCAAATATAACCGTGAATTATAGCTCCACGTCAAATTTCCAAGGAATCCATCAGACTTCTGCCTGGAATAATCTTGGTTCGCAAGTGAAAATTGAACTCGTTATGGTGAAGTCAGATGTAACTAAGATATCGAATCACAGTTTGATTCAGCGCAATCCCGACTGATCCTATTTTAAAACTCGGCCTACAAAAATTACTTGCCTTATTCCAAAGACCCTTACGCAATTGGGGAATTTGCAGAACAAAATACATTTGAAAGACTAATCTGTATGACTTTATTAAATTTTAAAACACAGCGGGTAGCGAGCAGTTTTGAGGTGAGACTCAACGGATTTTCATGGTCTTTTTTTTTTTTTTTTTTCTTTAACGTCAATGTCATCGATCCTCGTATAATTCCAAAAGAAGAAACTAATTTTAAGTTAGGTTCTTGCAAACAAAGGTGTTAACGAGGTGCTGTTGAATTGAAAACTTTAATTGCTGAATCGAAAAGGGACAAGATGTCGGTGATCAAATTTGTCAGAAAATCTCTTTGAAAGGCAGCTTTTTCTGAGTTTTTAAAGAAGTTCTGGCTTTGAATGGTCTCCTGCCAAGAAGGCATGTCCGACAATTGAGAAATTTAAAATATAATGAATTTTTAAAAGCAACCGGAAAAACTTGGCTTTATTGAAAATTGTATTCATTGGAGATCTTGAATTTTCATTACTTAAAGAACAGCGTTGAGAAGGATAATGTAGAATCAGGCGCTCGCAGTTCATGGAAATTTCATTTAATTGAAGATTACTAGGCGTGAGTGTATTTTTGTATCCCAGTCGTTAAAATTTGGAATTCGATTTTATTCCGCTTCAAACAGGTACAGCTGTTGCTCTTGCAATAATCCCGTGTATTATTGCTTTTCATATATATCAACCAATCAAAAGAGCACATTAATAAATTTTGCTGACTTTATGTCGCACTTAAGCGGAAATGACAATGATTTACTTATGCGATTTGATGTCATGAGCCAAAACTTTCCTGAAAGCTTGATTATCTGAAGTCCGCTGCGATTCTGCCTAACCAAGGCGTTCGCCTCTTAACATAGCGGTTAAGAAAAATAAAAATGAGGTGTTATAGCAATAACAGGTCCTCTGCTTCTTACGTAATTAAAACCTGTCATTTGACTTTTCAAATGTGTGTTTAGCAATGTAAAATAATGTGTGATATTATCCAATCACACGCCATCTTATTGCTGATGTTATTAGATACTGAAAAAGTTTCTTGAGATTTTTTGTTATGCTTCGCAGGCCGCGTGTAAGCTGCCGGATCTTGATAAACACTTGGGGTAAGAAGGCTCATGTGAAAATAAGGGATATAGCATATACACTAAGAGTTGGCATCATCCGCTGAAAAAAAAAAAAGTTTGCTTAAGCCATTGGCACAATATGGACTCGAATGTTTGTCGTGCATAGCCCTAAATTACACCGGTCTTCCTTTCAATCAGGAAAATGGCTCGGAGGATTTTTCTGTGGCAACTAATGTCATGTATAACCCTGGAGTTTCTCACTCGTTTTGGTACTGCGGTAGAAAAGCTCGATGTCAACATCGCTGTGTTTTTTGACAAGGATGACATCTTCCAGGAATACGTCTTCAAGTCGGCCGAACGAATGTTCCGATCAAGAAATGTTGTAGCTGGTAATGTGACTCCTAATGAGTTCTTGTTGGAGATGCATTTCTCGATGCCTAATCTGACCGACGTCTCTCCCTTTGATCATGGTTTGAGTGGTTTGTTTCCCAAGATTTCAAATATCACCTTTGACTCACAGGGCATAATCTTCGTCGATGTCACAGAAGATGGATTACTTTATTCCACGCTTCTTGAGAGTTCCGTGTTTCCATCAATTGGGCTACTGCAGAGCAGAAGGACGTTTCCCATCACACAGGTAGATTAAAAAATTTATCTGTCTAGCTTCTTTGTTTCAACTAAATTCATTTTTGACGCTCGTTAAGTAGTAATCTTGAGCGATTTTTTCAATATTTTTTCAATTTTGTTATTGCATAAAATATTAGAACTTTTATTTTTTGGGAAAAAATCTACACAGCAGTTTTTTTTAAATTGAGCCACCTCTCAACGTTCTAATCAGGCAACTTAAATTCACATTTGGGTCAAAAGAAATTTGGAAATTCATCTCAGAATTCTCAGAATTATTGGATTTACTTTCGCATCTGATGCGTTGAAAGTCTTGACTTTAAATTTCTCAGAATTCTCTCGCGGAAGTTCTTTTTTGCTCATCAGCAAAAGGGCGCGTTACGAACATAATCAATATTTGGATACTGCTGCTTTCACACTTTTGGATGATATTTACACAGTAAATGCCATCGTTTTATTTACATTTCATTATTCATAGAAAAATAAACATGCTAAAAATCATCACTCTAGTAGATGCGATTAAAGAGAATTCAAAAATATTGTGTTATCAGATTTCAACTTGGCTAAGCTTAATACATGAATTGACCCACTAGGATTACAGGCAAGAAATGAATATTTACTCAAATGTTTACGTCTGATGTGTTATCATTTACTGGTGTTGGCGCCTGCCCATTTTAAAACCGACAAGATCTTAACACCCCCTGCAATCGCTTTGGTAAGCTATCTTTTGAAATCTCGAGAAATGGCCTAAAAATAAATTTCCTCTTTCTTTCCTTTTTCCCCATAATTTACGGTTGTAACGCTGAGTTAATCTACCATTCAACTCATAAATCCGCGTAGGATAGTCGTTTTTGAATTATACAAAAAAAAAAAAAAAAAGAAAGAAAACAGAAAATTACCGACAGGAAACATCTGCGGATCAGAGTAATATTGCCATGTATCTCGGGTTAATTAGGCTAAAAATACATCGAATGCAATTTTCATATTCATTTTCAAAAAGCTAAAGAAAATAATCTTTCATATATTTAGACCTTTGAAATCAAACAATTTAGCGTGAAATTGAAGTTAAAATTCAGACATAACACATTTCTCATTTTGAGAAATATTGCTTAGGGTTTCATGTTAACTAACTTAAAGGTTATAAATGTTGACAAAAATTCATCTATTCAAAATTCAGTTTTTCACCGTAAAGGTAACAGAGCCGGTCATTACTGTATCACGAATGAAAGCTTTCATTAAAAAATAGCAGGCGATAAAAGATAAGCGCAATTCAAACAGAGATCGGACAAATTAAGCAAGTAAACAAACAAATGGGTTAGCATGGGTTAAGGAAATCCTTTGTAAAAACAATAAAATATAAATCAACTGTTCAAAACTGTCTTCGTTATTCCTGGCCCGTTTAATGACAAGCAGCTTGGAATTTACAGTCATCTGTTGATGATTTGTTGGTTTTCATTCGGAAAGCTTATGGTTGACTTTCCTAATCGAGGCCTGTTCTAAAACGGTCATCTTCTGTATAACTAGCTCATTTGTAGTTGTGTAATAGACGGCCATAGACAAACGGTCTTAATGGATTTATATATAGGCTCTAGTGTGTTCCTGTGTGGCTCTCGAGAAAACATACCACTTCACTTTACTGATTCATATCGATAATCAAGACATTTTCATTAACAATTTTCAGAGCTTTTATCTATGGCACTAGAGAAATTCAACGGTAAATCACTCTTGCGTCGTTTTCGTTCTTCAAAATAGATCAACAACAGCTCTCGTGAACTAATATATGCTTATAGGTTTGTCTGCGGAAATAACATCCGATCTTTCCCTGGGAGCAAATAGTAATTCGAGCGAAGCTTGAAGATAATTTTAATGTTCGAAACGGTTTGTCACGACTTCACTTAAAAAAAGCAAATGCTTCCAGCCCCCTTTTAAGTTAGAAATTTAAAGTCAAGACTTTCAACGCATCAGATGCAAAAGTAAATCCAATAAGCGCTTACCATTCTCGAATGGAATCGATTCCTACTTTGCGAACAAGCAAGGACGAAGATAAGAGTATAGAGTTGAAAAAGGTTCAATACCATCACGGGCTCCTACATTATCCTATTCTGAAAGCAGAAAGAATGGTCATTTTGGAGAACTGCTGAAGAGCGACGGCTTTCGTGAAACTGTTTCGAACATAATTCTGAAATAAAACTGATCGATCCAAAAGACTATACAGTGTTTGTTAAACAGCTGGGCTATATGGGAATCCTTGTTTACAATATTTGCCTCATTAGCATAAGCAATTCAGTTTCTGATGGAGCTAAAAATAAATCAGTTCTGAATATCGAAAGGTCAAAGTACGATTAACTCGGCCAATGAATACGAGCCTGATGCATTGAATACTTTTTGTGCAACACGGGTTTAAAAACTCAAAATTTTACATAGAATGTATGAGCTCATTAGCGCTTTTGCCACCCAGAAATTTTGCAGTTTTTGATGGACTATTTCTCCTTGAATATTACACCCAAAGAGCTAAAAATTTCACCATGTACTAAGGTTTTCTAGCTCTTTAGCTGCCTGAAGTCAATATGTATCTACTATGCTTCCTTCTTTACGCAAAGCCGTATGCAAATGAGCAAAAATGTAAACAATGACGTCAGCATGAATCCGCCTATACGTACCAATACTTTGATTTCCACGGAGGAGGCTCATTTCTACGGAGGAGGCTCATTTCTACTGAGGAAGCGGATTTCTAGAGAGGAGGCTCATTTCTAAGCAACAGGCTTATATTTGAATGGAAAACAAGAACAATTGCAAAGAGAAAGCAAGGTTTTAATTAGAAACGTGTTCGTTTTACAGTGAGCAGCAGTGGCACCTGTGGTCCACCGTAGATTTGCGCGTCGTTGACAGAGATGCAATAATTGACGAAGCCGCTATTTAACAAACACTGTATAGTCTTTTGGATCAATCAGTTTTATTTCAGAATTATGTTCGAAACAGTTTCACGAAAGCCGTCGCTCTTCAGCAGTTCTCCAAAATGACCATTCTTTCTGCTTTCAGAATAGGATAATGTAGGAGCCCGTGATGGAATTGAACCGTTTTTCAACTCTATACTCTTATCTTTGTCCTTTCTTGTTCGCAAAGTAGGAATCGATTCCATTCTTTTGAATCTGATGCGTTGAAAGTCTTGACTTTAAATTTCTAACGTAAAAGGGGGCTGGAAGCATTTGCTTTTTTAAGTGAAGTCGTGACAAACCGTTTCGAACATCAAAATTATCTTCAAGCTTCGCTCGAATTACTATTTGCTCCCAGGGAAAGATCAGATCTTATTTCCGCAGACAAAAAAAAATACATAAAGAAACGATCATATGATGCACGATCCTCGCAGTAGATAGCGCTATTTAAGCAATAGCGAAAATCAGACCTGAAAAAATTCAGGCCTGTACGGGATTCGAACCACTGACCTCTGCGATACTAGTGCAGCGCTCTACCAATTGAGCTAACAAGCCAACTGGGAGCAGGCCGTTAAGTTGATTCGTAATAAACCCGTGAAAGTGATAAATGAGATACAATGAAATATATGAAGTTCATATATTTTGTACTGCGGTATTAGATACATATGATGCACGATCCTCGCAGTAGATAGCGCTATTTAAGCAATAGCGAAAATCAGACCTGAAAAAAATCAGGCCTGTACGGGATTCGAACCACTGACCTCTGCGATACTAGTGCAGCGCTCTACCAATTGAGCTAACAAGCCAACTGGGAGCAGGCCGTTAAGTTGATTCGTAATAAACCCGTGAAAGTGATAAATGAGATACAATGAAATATATGAAGTTCATATATTTTGTACTGCGGTATTAGATACATATGATGCACGATCCTCGCAGTAGATAGCGCTATTTAAGCAATAGCGAAAATCAGACCTGAAAAAATTCAGGCCTGTACGGGATTCGAACCACTGACCTCTGCGATACTAGTGCAGCGCTCTACCAATTGAGCTAACAAGCCAACTGGGAGCAGGCCGTTAAGTTGATTCGTAATAAACCCGTGAAAGTGATAAATGAGATACAATGAAATATATGAAGTTCATATATTTTGTACTGCGGTATTAGATACATATGATGCACGATCCTCGCAGTAGATAGCGCTATTTAAGCAATAGCGAAAATCAGACCTGAAAAAAATCAGGCCTGTACGGGATTCGAACCACTGACCTCTGCGATACTAGTGCAGCGCTCTACCAATTGAGCTAACAAGCCAACTGGGAGCAGGCCGTTAAGTTGATTCGTAATAAACCCGTGAAAGTGATAAATGAGATACAATGAAATATATGAAGTTCATATATTTTGTACTGCGGTATTAGATACATATGATGCACGATCCTCGCAGTAGATAGCGCTATTTAAGCAATAGCGAAAATCAGACCTGAAAAAAATCAGGCCTGTACGGGATTCGAACCACTGACCTCTGCGATACTAGTGCAGCGCTCTACCAATTGAGCTAACAAGCCAACTGGGAGCAGGCCGTTAAGTTGATTCGTAATAAACCCGTGAAAGTGATAAATGAGATACAATGAAATATAATTATCACTTTCACGGGTTTATTACGAATCAACTTAACGGCCTGCTCCCAGTTGGCTTGTTAGCTCAATTGGTAGAGCGCTGCACTAGTATCGCAGAGGTCAGTGGTTCGAATCCCGTACAGGCCTGATTTTTTTCAGGTCTGATTTTCGCTATTGCTTAAATAGCGCTATCTACTGCGAGGATCGTGCATCATATGTATCTAATACCGCAGTACGGAGGAGGCTCATTTCTAAGCAACAGGCTTATATTTGCATGGAAAACAAGAACAATTTCAAAGAGAAAGCAAGGTTTTAATTAGAAACGTGTTCGTTTTACAGTGAGCAGCAGTGGCACCTGTGGGCCACCGTACAAATCTCCCCAAACGAGAACAGAACAGAAAAATATTAATATTGTAAAATGTTGGGGGAAAAAATCAAAAGAGAATTAGATTGGCAGAGGATTTAAAAGATATACGCGTATTGAGCCTTGAAAAAAATTAGGCTAGATTTGTCACTTCACGCTTACAAATCATAGACATCACGGACATCGTTTTTCATTTGTTTGTTGGTCTGCTTCTTAGCTCTGACGGTTGGTCTGTTTTTTTTTTTGTTTTTGTTTTTGTTTTTTTTGTTTTTGTTTTTTCTTCAAAAGGAAAGTTCTGGTGGATTCACTAGAGTTGCTGCGCCATCTATCATAGAATATGCACAAGTAATGGTGAAAATTACGGAGAAAATGGGCTGGCAAACTCTGAGTCTAGTGATATCAGCAACCCATGAGGGGCTTGTGTTTGCTGACGCACTGAAGCACTTAGCTCAGGAAAAGAAATGGCGCGTATTAACATCATTATGGATTCAAGGCGTCGAAAGCCTCCAAGAATTAAAGATGGGACTTTTGAACGTTATGTCGACGAAATCAGATGTAATCATCGGGCACGTTCGTGAAAAGAGCAACGACGATATATTTTGGACCATTCAAAAGTTGCAAGCCATTGAGAATAGTAGTGCATGGCTCGTTACTAAGCCTACCACGTACGGAGTCTTGAACTTAAGTTCGATTCCCTCTGGACTAACTCAGGTCAGTTGCAAATTACCCGAGATGGGGCATGACTATGAGTTGTACCTAAAGGCATTGTATGATTCTTTTGTCATGTTCGAAAGTGCTTTTAAAAGTTCAGTAAGGGCAATAAACAGTGTGCAAAAACAAGTTGTTAACACTTCAGAAAAATACAAGTTGCTGCGGAGAACGGCCATGATGTAAGTCAATGATCCATCCTAGAACTTACATAGTTAAATGTTTGTTTTCCTTGCTCTTTTTTTGGTTGTTTCAAGAATGTTGTGGATAAGAATTAGCGAAAGAAAGATTGGGCAGGGTCGCTTATCAGGAAGATGACACTTAACAAATGGAAGGAGGTGAATGGGATCAGGGACAGATGACTCCACTAGATATGATGCGAGAGAATGTTGCATCCACAATGCATCAGAATAGGACTGCCGTCATTGAGGGGTTCTTGCATTTTTTTTTAATTTAGTGTACATTACATGTCTTCTGAAATTACCAGAAGTAAAGCCAAGGTCCTTTTTGTTAGATGTGCTGTACACAAAAAGCTAGATGAGTCACTTGCCAGGCAGTTTAATATCTTTCCATCTTAAACTGCCCGTTTAAGATGGTTGAACACTTTACTGCGACAACAGAAAACAAATAACCCAAACAGTTGATCAGAATATCAAGTAACCGATCGATGATTTGATTTTTGTTCAAAGGTTTATTTAGTAATCTTTCCTCGTTGATCATTCTTCAGGGGTGTAGGTCGTTCTTCTCTTGAATTAGCCCTCTTTCATCCTCTTTTTCTTCCATCTCTAGCCGTTTGAAGGATACTTTCCTCAAAGGTAGCAGCGAGCTGTTTAGAACTCACGACTTGTCAGAGGAACACCATTCGGCGTTCGACATCTTGAATTTAAGGGAGGATCTCGATAGCAGAAAACACTGGCAAGATGTTGGACTTAGTACACCAACTGGACTCGCATTAGAGCCCATTGTAAACCACAATGGTAACACCCTCCTTCCACTACATCATCCCAAGCACCCCGTCCTGAGAGTGCCTGTTGTCGAATGGCCCCCTCTCGTGGTCTCAAAAGATCCAGCGCTGACAGCGAGCCAAAAATCATGCGTTGGAAGAACGTTCCCTTGCTATAAGTACGTAAACATAGAAAATTCTACGCAGAAGACTAAACAGCTTCTCTGCTGCTATGGAGCGTCTATAGACTTCTTGAAGTTTCTAAGAAGAGACCTCGGGTTTGATACGGAAATTTATTTCAATGCGGATAGGCAATACGGAAAGTTCGACCCCGTTAACGGCACCTGGAATGGAATTATAAATGAAATTATCTCTGGCAAAGCGGATCTAGCACTCGATGTGTCTGGAAACTTTGAGAGAGCAAGGGTAGTTGAATTTGCGTACCCCAGCACTGCCTCAGCAATGAACATTCTGGTCAGGAAAGAGCGCTCGTACCAAGAACAAGGTATGAGATTATAGCGAGTAACCAATATAAGTCGGGACTCGCTTGGTCCTAATGTGATAAAAAATGTCCAAAATATCATTGTGAGGAGTAAGTGGGAATACCTTCTGGTAGTGTAGCATTTTATTTTTAATGTATTGACATATCTTTTCTTTTCCAAAGAAACTCAATCATATAATTCTTTTTTGTCTCTATCAGTAAGCGTGTGGTACTCGTGGCTGGAGCCGTTCGAATATGGCCTTTGGATAGCCATCCTGGTGACGTGTAACCTGGTCCTGTTTGTAGTTTGGTGGCTTGACAGGAAGAGTCCCAAAGGTTATTACGCGCTCCTCAAGGATAGTGATGAGGATGCTTTTACATTGTTAGGTAAATAGCAAGGAAATACATATGGTTTTGGTAAGGGAAGGGGAGGAAATGAGAAGAAAAGATGATGGAAGGCATTGTATGGTTACCTTAAAAGAGTGTTATGGACACCGTTAGTAAATCGCACGCTCCATAACGAACAATCTTTAAACTTACAGCTAAGTTCTAATTACTCGGACCCTTCAGCTTTCCACGCATCATAGTTAATTTTATTTCCTGAAAAGAAAGAGAGTGTTATCGTAAATGGCGACTGACTCTTCGACATCTTAACCAGAAGTCATCTTAAAACTGATGATGACTTCCAATAAGTTTGTCGAAACATCAGGCACCATCACTGAAAGCAATTTGATTTGAATTGTGTCCTCACCTGGATGATCTCACTAACTCTATCAGTTTCAAATTGTGTTGTGCGGGAGGTCGAGGGTTCGAGCCCCGGCCGGACCAATAGTCATGGTCTTAAAATAACTGAGAAGAATTTGCTACCTTCAGTATAATATCAAGAAATGGATAGATATTCTAGTCTTCTCGGATAAGGACGAATAAACCATAGGTCCCGTCTCCTGCAGGGTTAGGGGCAGGAGACGTTAATTTCCCACGCACGAGATTGCTGTGTGGTGGATGTCCTCCCCTTGAGTGGGATGGGTGGGTGTTATACAGGGCCCCATTTAAACCATCTGTTCGCTGAACTGGGCTATCCTGTCTAAATATTCATTACTTACTTACTTACTTACTTATTCCTTTCTAGACTCCATGAGTTATGTATGGGGCGTAGCATTTAGTAAGGACATTGGCGCGGAAAAGACTCCCCGCAGCAACAGCGCTCGTACCGTGTCAGCGGTTTATGCGTTACTGGCCTTGATCATGGTAAACACCTACTGTGCAAATCTTATGGCCTTCTTACTTGAGGATTCATACAAACTGCCCATCAGTGGTATACGAGATGCCAAGGTAAGTATCTTTTATCGAGCATTTTTCAATTGAGTGTAAAAATTCACATTTGTTCGAATACGATCTCTAATTGGTTCAGGAAACTCGCCCTATTGACCCTCACCTTTCTCGACGTTAGACACCAAACATCACGATTGCCATATTTAGGCGGTTTACAAGGGATCCATCTGTGTGGTTTTTGGCTCATGAACTGCTTTGAATACATTGGCTTTGTTTACCTGCACTCAATCGAAGAGCATTCCACTAAGTTTAGTGGAATAGTAGTAATTTTAGTTTTATCGCATCCATGCGACTCATACAGGTTGGAAAAAGCAGTTGCTCTGACACTCCTAGGGCTGAGATTACTTTTTACGCAAGAATAATTATGTATATTCTCAAAGCTTGTGACAGAATAAACTAGTGTAACTCTTACCTCTTAAAACGTGTGAGTTTACGCCTCGATGTCGCTGTAAGAACGCCCGAGTGCTTGAAAGCTGCACGCTGACGTTAGAACTGTAAATATCACTAAGAATTAGCACTCGTTTCACTGAGAAACTATCACAACAATCGATTTGCCTTAAGGAAGACGTGACGCATTTGTCACACACAAAAAAGAACCAAAAGAGAAAAAATCTGAGCCATAACTACCATTCGAGTTATAATCTGTACAGAGGCTCTAATAAAATGAGCTACGCATGCAAAGTTCTGTTAAAGAACAACCAAAACTATTGAAAGAAGGAGTTCAAACGAACGCGCTAAGGCCAGGAATATCTATCTTGAACTTTTCTTTCAACTTTTTTAAAATATCTCGTGTTTCATTCCAATAGCTCACCGAGAAGTCTCTTTATCCACCTGACGGTTTTAAACTTGGAGTAACACGGGGAAGCAACGCGGAATCTTACTTCAAATATCACGTAGAAGACTTTTTCAGGAAGATTTACCATGCTAACTTGAAAATACATTTAGTGGATGGTTTTCAGGCTGGGATACAGCAGCTAAAGGACAAGTACGTTTATAATAAAATATAAAAACATCATTTTCAACCAAACTCTTCCTTTTTGAACTTTTAGACTCAAGGCCTTTTTTTCAGCCAGACAAGTTTGAATCCAGGGTTAACTACAGAAATATACCAAGCCCTTGCCATGGCAGCCGGTTCAGTCAGTATGCATTACGACAGTCAAAAAGTTAGTAAGTCAGTCAATTGGTAGTAAAATAATTTGGATATATCAACAAAGTTGAAATGTAATCGTTACGGTGGCCAATTGATCATTTCAACTTTGTTGATATATCCAAATTATTTCGTTACCCCCACCGACGAAGCCCTAAACAGTTTCTTTAGAAACTATCAGCCTTTATTCAATTGGTAGTAAGTCGATTAATTTGTCAGGCGTCAGTTAGGCAAGTAGTCATTCAGTCAACCAGTCATTTTGCAAGCAGGTCAACTATTGGTTATTTACAAGGTAAATTTGGTTTTATCAACTGAGTTGATAATGTAAATTGGCAACGGAAAGAGTTTCAAAGCTGACGTTTCAAGCGTTAGCCCTCCCTCAGAGCAAATGGAGGAATTGTGGGTTTGTGTCTGCGTTTATATACAGAAAATGGAGCTACGCTATTGGTGGGAAGAAAGTAACGAGAAAAACAAGAATCAATTAGTTAAATGAAAAGCGTTCGTTGATACCGTGGAGATAAAAAGTGCCGATTTGAAAGATAAACTTTTGTTCTAGAGGGTGGTCAGTCTTTCAATCAGTTCGTATGTAAATAACACATCCTGTCATTCATTGTTTCATCCATGAAGCACGTAAGTCAACAGTCAGCGAGTCGGTTTGATGATCGCTCATTCGATAAGGCAGTGAGAGAAGCAGTCAGTCAAGCGAGGCAGGTGATCTGTCACTAAATAAAATACGTTTCAGATCAAAATTTAATAAGTTCTACTAATGGCTATGTGATTCTTACATTTCTCGTCTTAGCAAGCTGGATGGACTTGTAGGTGACTACTTATCTTTGCAGCAAGCTGGTAACACTGATCCGAAATGCAGTTACAGCCTCGCCGGAGGAAACTTCTACCACTTTGGCTATGGTTTTGTGTTCCCCAAAGGTTCACCATGGATAGAGGAGGCAACTTTGTCAGTGCTGAAAAACCAAGAGAATGGCAGCATTCAGGCTATTTTAGATTACTGGTTCAACAAAAAAGAATGCACGACAAGACCAGTAAAAGAACTCGGTCCAGAGAAATTGATAGGGTTATTTCTGCTTCTTCTTGGTGTAATTGGGTTCAGTATCATGGCTTTGATATCCGAGATGCTCTTCATATTTGTGCTGGTTAAATTCGGACGTCACCTGGGTCCCTTGGGAAAGTCTTTGACGCGCATGATCTTTAGTGTGCGCAAAGGCGAAGAAAACGATATTAACATAAAGTGGTTACAGCTGTACAAGAGACATAAGAGTATGCGACCAAACGAAGTGCAATTTACAGAACCTCATCACGATGTTTCTATTCGAAGAGCGAGTTTTTGTAACCTGAGCTTTGAGTATGGGAATGAGGTGTTACCTTATGATGAACAGTCGATATATCTTCGTAGAAGTCAGCTACTGACTGTGGAAGATCTATCCCGTGCGACTGGAGGGAATTCCGAGTCACAAAACGATACCACAGAAAGAACAGAGAGCTCGACACTTTGAGCACCAATTAGTGGTGTTGGTTGTCATCGTGTAACAACACCACTAGCAAAATTATGTGGGGATTAGGAACGATTTTAGACATCGTCTTTCGAACCTGTTCAAGCTTCCCCGATGGCCGAGTAGGCTAGTAGGATAACAGGAATTCCTCTCGAGTTACTCTTTCTATTTTCTTTTGGGTACTTCTGCCTCTCATGTCAGGTACCGGTATCTTTTTATTTGACCCCTCGTTAAAGCATGGTTTGAACCAATCAAAAGCAGTCAATTGGTACCGAGTTTTGTAGCAAAAAAACGATGGCGACAAGAATCACACCTTTTTGAATATATGCTATGGCAGTGTTACTATAGATTTCACCAACATAACAAGTTGATTGAAGTCCTATAGAAATCAAACTATTATATGGCCTACAAAATTTCCAACCACAGCCGGTGTGCAGCGAGAGTAATAAGGCTTTTCCTACCCTGCTAACTTATAGACCACGCCTAACCCAAGTTAATTTGAGAATTCTAACCGGAAGGTGAATGAGATATTTTCCGAATTCACCACATTCGTTTCACTGGAACATTTCGTCTCTATTGGGTGTAGTATTTGTACCTCATCTAATGCTGTGCGGGTCTCAGAGCACATGCATGCAAAGGGAAAAAAAGAGATAAAAGAATCGAACTTTCTGCCTCACAGTTGTGAAGCAAAAACAAGGAATTGTCGCGAATAGGCTATCTTTATGTATCTTACGCCGGAGAACTCTGTCGCCGGTTCCATTTGGAGTAAAGTTTATTCTACATTTGTACATAAATCCTACATAGAACTCGCAAAACGCTCAATGAGAACGTCTCTTCACGATGCAGGGCATTCTTTTAACTGACATTTTTGCCTTAGTTTACAAATGTTTCAAGGCCATACGCCTATCACAACTTTAAATAAAATAGTTCCAATTAAAAATAACTACAATAACACCTCCGTTTGAAACAAGTGTAGAAAACCATAAATAAAGATACAAAGTAGACTTCCAACTTAATTACAATCTTTGATTTTGTACAGCTTTATAAACTTTGTTTTCTAAAGAACTGCCGTACGGTTCAAAGAAATAAAAGAGAAGAAGAACACTTTCACTGTAACGTATGGATAACATGTTTACCAGGCTGTCGTGATGTTTCAGACCCTTCTCATGAAATTTCCCAAAGCACAGATGTATTGAGGGCGGATAACTCTATGCAACGGATAAATCGCTATCCACAAGAAAAGTGATAGCAAAACGTGCTGCGCCATCCACTGGATAGAGATTTATCCACAGGATAGAGTTATCCAACCTTCGAACAACAGTGGCCTGGGGCCCGTTTCTCGAAAGTCCCGGTAAATTAACGGGCCCGTAAAGCTGTTCTGTTTTCATTTAAAATGGGGATTTCAAAAGTTTTGAAAATGATACAGTAAAGCTATCAGTTAAAGAAACAAAAGGACTGGTTTGGGTACCAGAAATTGCTTTCCTATTCTTTAAATATTGATTTTAAAACATGGCTTCGGACCCGTTAAGTTACCGGGACTTTCGAGAAACGGACCCCTGCACCGACCCGATATCCAAAAATAAATCTTCCCAGCAGTCTTTGCATGCCGCTTTTACTCCGGGTAGTACAACGCACGGCGGGTCTGTGTCGTCCCGTCCACAGCCAATATGCAGTCATCTGTGGAGTCCTCTGGTTTCTTTGAGACTTTCAATAATGATATGGACGATTTTGATTTAGAAGACGATGATTTCCCAATAGGAACAATATCTTTCAACGGACGACTCGTTATTTCGGGCGATCCTAATGTTTTCCCAGTTCTCGGAACGGGAGGTAAATTATATTAAGTGCACAATGTTTATATTATATATTAGGTAGATCGAACGATTATGTCTTTCAATGATGATTATAGTTTTCTTCAGTGGAGAGTTTTTGATTTGAATTAAATCGTATTGTAGGAACATGATTTTAAACAGCTGCATCGGTTTATGCCTTTACATAGCAACGCTTAACGGAAAGAGGGAACATTTAATCGACTGCGTAAAGTCTTTCCCGTTGTCACATACCTGTTCACCCTAGTCACATATCGGGTGGTACATATTGAA